CCTCCGGGATGAAAGGCTGGCAGCCCCAGGCCGCGCCAGTAAAGCAGCCCCACCCTCGCGGGGAGGACCTCCCCGCACCGGTGTAAACTGAGTCATGGGGGGGGGGTGAAGGGTGAGTCACGCACCTGAGTGGGAGCGGGATGGGAGGGGGCCCGCGCCACGCCCCCAGGGGCAGCACTGGCAGCTCCGCAGAGGGGGGCAGGGCGGGCACCCCGGAGAGCAGGAGTGTGTGTGAGTGTGTGTGTGTGTGTGTGTGTGTGTGTGTGTGTGTGTGTGTCTCACGGGGAGGGGCGTGGCAGGCAGGAAAGCGAGGCCCTGACTCCAGAGGAAAGGATTGAAGTTTGGAAAGGAGTCAAAGCCCAGAGGAAGATTTTGGCGGGAATGCCTGGCTGCCCTCCCTGGCCTCTGCCTGTTTGGCTCAGTCCCTGCCCCACCCCTATCCCCCTTCGAGGGGCTGCATGCACCCCTTCATGAGGGTCAAGGGGAGGAGCTAGGTCTCTTGCATTCCCCCTGACCCCCAGAGTCAGCGCCCGCGGGTGGAAATGCCCCAGATGCCAAAACAGACTACCCCACCCCCACCCCACCCCAGGTCCCTGTTCCCAGGGCCCAAAGCTGGTTGGGGACCCGGGGAGCTGTCACAGACTGGGTACCCACACATCCAGGGAGATGTGGTGGTGGCCGGACTGTGACTAGCTTTGACCTTGGTCAAGTTACTTAACCTCTTCAGCCTGAGTTTCGTCCTCAATGAAATGGGGGTGGTGCCCTGTTGGTGTAGTGGTTATAGTGGCTAGGTGTGGGGCTCTGATCCTCAAGGTGAGAAGTTCAAATCTACCAGCCAGTCCTCAAAGTAGAAGGATGGAGTTTCTACTCCCATAAAGAGGTAGTCTTTATGACTATAAACTGCCTTTCCCCACAGGGAAGTTCTACCCTGTCTGGCTGGGCATTGACTTGCTGCCAGTGAGTTGTGAGTTGTAGACTTGGTCCTGTGGGGTGGCATCCCTAGGAGTTGGCATAGACTGGGCACCAGTGGGTCCCTCCTATAAAATGGGCTAGGGAGGGCACCTGAGTTGCCCTAAGGGTTCTAGTCTCTGGTTTTTATTGGCTGGGAAGCTGCCCCCTAAGCCCTGCCCCCTTGTCTCTCTGCCGGCCTGGGGTCTTCCCCACTGGGCAGGCAGGGGGTGGAGTGGAGGAGACATTGTGGGGACGGAAAAGTCTTCTGGTGCCCTCTTGGTACCTGGGGATGCCAGGTCTGAGAAGTGGGGCGTTCTCTCTGGGATGAATCAGAGTGTGACCCAAGCCTGGTCCCTGCCAGGGGCCCCTCCCAGCAGGCGGCGGATTGGGGTGCAGCTTCCCAGCGGCTGGGAAAAGCCCCAGTGAACCCCGCCAAAGCGCTGGCAGGAGCTTTCTCCTGACTCAGCTGTTATCCTGTGAGTCTGAGCGGGCCTGGGGTTCAGAGCTGGGGGACATGCCAAGATTCTCCCACTGCCCCCACCCGGCGTGACCCTCCCGGTGTCTCCTCCCCAGGATCCAGGGGGCACACAGTGTGTGTGTGAGGGAGGAGGAGGCCTGGGGCGTCTCATTTCCCTCGCTCTGCCATCCCCCTGGCCCTATAGCTGGGAGCAGAGGACAGGGGCTTTTTCTGAGTTCTTCTGTCCACAGGACTTGGGCTGCTTCCCATTCGGAGCAATGAAGGGATCCCCCCAGCCAGCCTAAGGAGGTGCGCTCCCAGGGGCTCTTGGCCCATCAGGGGAGCAGCCCCCACTGGGGGTCTGAGAGACCTGGCCTGCCCATGTAGGTTTAATCCCTGTACTACCTGGGCCTCAGTTTCTTCATCAGTAAAACAGGGATCTTCAACTGGGCCCAGCGCCTCTCCCAGGCTGTGCCGAGGCCCCAACCATCACGCTGTGCGAAATGAATCTTCTAGCCGCGCCTCCCTCCACAGCAGGTCCTCAAGGTGAGGCTCACTTATTCACCAGGTTCCCTGAGGTGCAGTGGCCAGGCCTCAGTCCCAATAGCAGCTCTGTAACCCTGAGCCCTTGACAGAACCTCTCTGGACTCGGCAAAATGTTGACACTACTAGAGGACACTTTCAAAGCTCAAACCCTCGTCACAGTGACCCTACAGGACACATAGTGACCCTATAGGACACAGCAGAACTGCCCCATAGGGTTTCAGAGGCTGAGCTGATGGGCACATCTTTCCCCGACTTGAGGGGCTAGTGGGTTTGAACTGCAGACCCGGAGGTTAGGAGTCCCATGTGTAACCCACTACACTACCAGGGCTTTTGAGTGAAGCTTCCTCCTCCTCTTCCTCCTCCCTGCCACTAAGTTGATGGAGACTCATAACGACCCTGTGGGCACGGTCAAACTGACCCCATGGGTTTCTGTGACTCTAATTCTTTCTGGGAGGAGACAGCCTTGTCTTTCTCCTGAGGAGTGGCTGGGGCTCTGAACTGCTGACCTAGTGGCTAGCAGCACACCGTGCAACCACCATGCAGCCAGAAGACTGGAGGACATGAAACAGCTGAACACGTAGCACAGTGCCTGCCTCGTGTTTCCGCCGCATGAGGACCCTGTGGCCCCAGAGCAGAAGGGGATGTTCATTGCGGGCGGGGCATCTAGGCTAGGTCAGGTCCTTCATCAGACACTGAGGACACCCCGGGAGTAAATGGTAGGGTGCCCTCAAGGCACCCCAGACATGCAGACGAGAGCCAGACCCGGGGTCCTGAGAGCCTGGGGGAGGTGCTTTTGCAGGTGGGGTGAAGGTGAGCTGAGGGGCTTGGGGGAGGAGACTCCCCAGGAGGAGGACACATCAGTGTCAACCTGGCATGCCCACAGGATGTGACCTGTGTGTGTGTGGGGGGGGGTGGGGAGCCAAGGATGGAGGGGCTTGGAGGGTCAGAGTAGAGTGGTTGGCTCCAAGGACAGGGCAGAGATGTGGCATGTGGAGTATGCCATCTGGGCAGGTGGCAGGGGAATGCATCACCACAGGGATGTCCGGCCCCGTGCTGAGGCAGGCAGGCATGCAGAAGCCGCATGCCAAGGGCTGAGGGAAATGCCAGGTGGCGCCAGTGGGCTAAACATGGGCAGAAGGGGTGCCGGAGCAAGGATCAACAGGGAGTGGGGGTGCCTGTAGGCCGTGGGGGGCACAGGCCCTTTTCAGGATACTTTGACATCAGCTTGGGGGGGCCAAAGGGGAGGGGCACAGAAGGCAGCAGGCGTGACTGCCATGGCTGAGAGAGACCAGAGGTCAGTCTCGAACACAGGCAGGAGGGGATGTGTGGACAACTGGGTAGACAGGGAGGATTTGTTGCTGTCATGTGGGCACTGCGGTGGGACCCATGAGGGCCTGGCCTGGACCCCCCTCGCGTCTGGATCTATGGGCTCGGGGCACCAGACTCCAGCCTGTGACCACTGCTCAGGCTCCAGGGACTTCCCAAAGCCTGTCCCCAGGGAGTTGGGTGGGGAGGAAGCTGGGGAGGGGGGATAGGTCCACCCCGCCTGACTCACCCACTTCCACCCAGACAACTGAGAGGCATCTCCGCTCCCTTGCTCCAAATTCCAATTTGGTGAGGCTGCTGGAGGCTGACTCAGCTCCGGCACCGCTCACGGGAGCCGTGTCTCTGGGGGCTCCCAGCCAGATGCCCTTGGCTCTGATGGAAGTCAGGGGAAGGCGAGGGGCAGGAGCAGGGCTCAGCGAGATCGTGGGAGTGAGCATGTGCTGAGGGCTGGGAGGAGCCAGCTGACTGCTAAGTCTCTCCCAAGGCACAGGATCTCTCTGCTCCACTCACCTCATGCGTGACCCTGGGGAAGTCCCTTCCCCTTAGCCTCACTGTCCCTGGCTGCAGTGGGGTGGACATCTTTACTGAGAACTCGGTGACGCATCGCCTCTGGAAGTGCTTTCTTTGCAAGCTGCCCAGTGGCCCCTGTGACAGTCTGTCGGGGCACCGTGTGAGAGGAGAGTGAACTGGAGGGGGTGGGGGGAGCCTCCCAGGGCCACCACTAAAGGCTATGTAGGTTGCACACAGCACAAGGTTGTTTAGCCTAAAATAACCCACTGCCATCGAGTGGATGCTGACTCATAGCGACCCTTTAGGACAGGGTGGAACTACCCCGTGAGCTTCTGAAACTCAAGTGTTTTCAGGAGTAGAAAGCCCCCAATTTTTCCCGCGGAGGAGCTGGTGGGCTTGAACTGATTTCTCAATGCATGACTACTAGGCCACCAGGGTCTAGGGCAGGGGTCCTCAAACTTTTAAAACAGGGGGCCAGTTCATTGTCCCTCAGACCGTTAGAGGGTCGGACTATAATTTTAAAAAAATAAACTATGAACAAATTCCTATGCACACTGCACATATCTTATTTTGAAGTAAAAAAACAAAACGGGGCAAAAACACCCGGGTCAGATAAGTGTCTGTATGTGGCCTTCAGGCCATAGTTTGAGGACCCATGGTCTAGGGCATGGAAAACCAGCCCAGCATCTGCTCCCTAAACAGGGAGTCTTGGTCCAGCTGCCTCCCCAGAGCCATCCCTTTGCGATGCACGTGTGCGGAGCCCTGGTGGTACAGTGGTTTACGTGTTGGGCTGCTACCTGAAAGGTTGGCAGTTCAAACCCAGCGGTAGGTTGTAAGGAAAGAGATGAGACTGATTGCCCTTGTGCAGATGTTCAGCCTCGGAAGCCCTAAGAACAGTTCTACTCTGCCCCGTATGGCCACTACTAGTTGCCCTCGACTCCCTGGATTACTACGCAGATATGAGACTAGCAATGGCGCCTTTGGCTCTGCTGGAAGGGCCAAGCCCTCAGGCTTATGGGAAATGGCTGAGAAACTGGCTTTGGTTTGTGGGCTGGGGTGGTGGGATTGGCCTCGCCGAGGCTCTGAGGGGGCCGGGTCTTGGCAGCAGGCAGGTCTTGAGCAGACAGGAGGCGAGGCCTGCGGGGCACACCCTTCTCCTGGCGCTGGCTCTCCCCGGCAGGCAAAAGAGGGAGCCACTAAGACCACCTTCTAAAAAACACTCAAGACACAGACCCAAGCGGGCTTTATTGGAATGTCAGGGGCAGGCAAGTGACAAGATCGCTGAGGAGGGGTCTGGGGTGATGCAGGCTGTGAGGTGCGGGGAGGGGCAGGCCTGGGGTCTGTGGTCCCAGTGTCCCCTCTCTCTGCCAGGGACTGAGTGGGCACAAGGACTCACCCACCCCCAGTGGCGTGCTCAGGCCTGCAGGGCCCCGGCCCTGGCCCCAGAGGGCTCCAAGGGAGGGGCTAGAAGCACTGGCATTTTCTCCCTCCAGAGGGTGGGGGGAGGGAAGACGAAGACAATGCAGGAGGGACAGTGCAGCCTGGTGAGGCGACAGGGGTGGCCGAGATGGCTTTCCCTGGCTTCCAGCCCCAGCCAGTGGTCCTGTGAGGGGGACGGGAGCAGCAGCGAAGACAAAGGCTGAGGGCCCGGCCCTCAGCGAGCCAGGGCCCCCTACCTGCAGGGGTTCAAGTCACTCCTGGACAGAGATGCAAGGGGGGCGAATGATGCTGGCAGTTCCTGAGTGACCTAACCCGGTCCCTCAGGGTTGGGGTCTGGCCTGGGGGTGGGGGGTTGACAAGGAAGGTAGGGGCAGCCCTCCCGCAGAAGGGCAGGGGGCGAAATCTGGCCCCACTAGGTCAGTTCCACATTGTTGGCACGATCCAGCACCCGAGAACCGCGGGCATCGCCCCCCAGCTGGAAACGGCTCTCGTAGAGAGTTGGGCAGAGGTGCCAGCGGTTGGCCCGGTAGATGCCCAGGTAGGTGTAGACGTCGGGCTTGTAGGTGAGCAGGCACTTGACGCCTGCAGTCCGGATGGCCGAGTCCGCCTCCAGGACACCCAAGCGGTCCGTGAAGTCGTCCGTGTATACGCAGATGACTTGGCGCCCACCCTCCCTGGCCCGTGGGCTCACCTTGGCCACCTGAAGCCGGCCCTCGACCACCGCTCGGGCGATGCCCGCCCAGGCGTGGTCCAGCTTGAAGCCAGGAGTCAGGTGCATCAGCCACTTGCCCGACAGCACCTGGTGGGTGATGGCCAGCTGGCGCAGGGTGCCAGGCGTGATGGGCCGCCCGCTGGTCTGCAGCGCCTCCCAGGCGGCCTGTAGACCCTGCACGTCTCCTGAGTTAGAGGTATAGCCCTGCCCGTAGGCCGCGATCCAGCCCACCGGCTCGGTGTTGGGGGAGCCGGGGTCCCCGTAGCGGGTAACTTGGGAGGGGGGGTATTTGGCCAACCAGGCGTCCAGCTCAGTGGCGGGAGTGCTCCGGGCATCGAACACCAGCCAGGGGTCCATATCTGCGGCCATGGCCTCGGCAGCCAGGTGCTCGGCGGTGAAGCCGTCCTCCCGGCCGCCGGGAGAATCTTCTTCCTCGGGCTCCTCTCCTGGCTCCATCCTGCTGTGAGGAAACAGGGTCTGGGCAGGTCTGGGGCAACCGGCAGGTGCCAGGGCTGGCCCGAACCCTGTGGCCGGGGGGGAGCCTCAGTGCCGCCGTGCCTCAGTTGCCTCATCTCGACAACAGAACGGCACCTGGTCCTTTCTCCGAATTCCGCGGGGAGAATCGGATGCCTGCGGTGCCACTTGCTTCTCGGACTTGCAGGCTGAAGCTCGGAGGCGGGAACCTGCCCAAGGTCACACCTGGCCGGCTCCATCACATCCCGGAGCCTGGCGGCAAAGCTGGCGGGGCCTGGGGCGTCGGGGCTCGCGGAGGGAGGGCGGGGGGCGCGCACCGGGGCCTCCGGGGGGCGCGGTCATGCTCCCTGCTGGACCAGGGCCTTGCGGCCTAGGCGGACGGCGTGTCGGGGCCGACGGCGCGGGGCCTGGACTCGAACCTGGGGGGCCACCGCGCCAGCCGCCATGGGCCCCCACAGACCCAGCTGGGCCCCCGCCCCAGCCCTACCCTGCCCGCCGTCCCGTCGTCACCTCCGGCCTTCGTTGCG